ATGCGCCACTTCGATAAAGCGGCACGACACGAGAACCCTCTCATCGTGGCCGCCGGTAACTACATTCCCGATCCTGCGGACAGAATGGAAAGCAGTCGACGTCGCCCAAAACACGTCATCTCGGATCCTCCCGATCCACTAACGGTGCTTTTAGGTACTTCAAGCACCGGTCACCGTTCTTGTCGAACCCGTCGCTTGCGACGAAAGGCTCGACGAGTAAATTAACTCTCAGACACAGCCCACTGAGTTTCTCGCCGGATCTTCTCAGTGGGTCGCGTTTCCGATCCGGTGGTAGATTCTGCGAAGCACGGCTCTTGCTAGGGCTCGTGTTAGCAACGTCATCAGGTTTGAGCCCCGTGAGCTCACCTACTAAAGTTAGGGTTACGCTGACATAGCCCCTAGGGCTATCAGCATAGGTCGGGAAAAAAAAAAAAAATTGGGTGACGCTGATACTAACTAATACAAAATTAAATACTTAAATTGTTTTTTAACGAGAGGAACTCGGACATAATAATAAATGTTATAATTCCAAATTTTAAGTCGTTCACAGATATTTACATAAGACACGGAGTATTTCGCATTGAATACAACGCTGACAATCAGGTCTTTGCACAACTGACTTATGTATTTGAACGCAATTATATTATAAATTATGTTATGTGTTGTACATTACGTACTTACGCGGACTGGTAGGTTTGAGTAGTACGTAAGCACATATAAGGTTTGTTTGTTCAATTTGTTGTCGAAAAACGTCCGTCTGTAAACTTATGGTCAACATATAAACCCAATTCCCTACTGCCCATCCTGTGACGACGTTTGATCGCACAACGTCTGTGTCCTGAAGCCACAGAAAATAATTAGTTAATTTGGTTTCGTAATCGAATACAAGCCATAACATATACAGGGTGTATTAAAATAAGATACATGTAGGTACATAATTCTTGATACGATAAAACAAAAGATAATAATATTCTAAATTTGATTATCTTGCCGACATAGTCGCATCGCTCGATACGAGTACACTCGACATCTGATTTTTAGGATAAGACGGGTAGTGTATGTTTCCCTTACATATCTAATGTCTTATGCGCTTTAGTCGCGAAGCAATGACGCCAAACCGGGGTTTGTTTAAAGGAAACGCTTGAGCCCTTGGCCCCAGTTCATTTGTGGGTTCGCCTTCGTTTTTTAAGATCGGCGGCATTGACGTAGCGGTGTCTGTTATTGGCTCCGGTAGCCACTTACACCAAATTTATGTTACACTCAGCTCCACGTTGTTACTAGTTTAAAAGTAAACAAACTATAGCTTTCTGACTTACCGAATTCTTTATGTATATTATGAAAGATTGAACGGACACAAATGTGCCAACTACGATCGTCCAAACTCCTAACATTAACTGAAACAAGTTTTTTTTTTAAATCAAACACTATGAAATGTCAAATCTTAAAATTTTGTAAGAAATTACTTACGGCAAATCTATAGCCTTGATTAATGCAATCGAATTGATGAAAAATTCTTCTGAAAGCTTTAGCGAACTCGAGTTTGCCTGCTCTTTTGTGAAAAGTGACTAATTTGTCGAACCTTCTTTTCCAGAATAATCCATTGAAAAATAATAAATCCGGCACATAATCGAGATTCATGTTGGAGTATTTCATTAAAGCCACATTAAGGTACCGAATTCTCAACGAAAGAAACGTATACAATGTCATGAAAAAACTGTAGTCGTCATAAATGCAAAACAGCCAACTAAAATATAACGATCCCACAACGTGAACCAGCAAAGACACTTTAAACACACTGTACATGTACGAAACCACAAAAAAAGCGAAAAATATCACCAGCACGCATAGTACAACGAAGTATCTTATTGCTATTTCTCTCATGAAACTGGTTTCTTTGACGCCCAAATATAAATCAATTTCAATGCAATTCTTGATTATTTGCGCGCCGCTACGTCGATTTCCAAATGATAAATTTATAAGGATCAAATTAGCAAATGTAGCAAAATGTCCTATGGCTATTACTTCTGGAAGTTTGAGATAGTCTTCGGCGGTTGTCAAATAATAAACACCAAAGTTTGCCAAGATCAGAATAAACGCATTGTGTATTAAAGTTCTATTCATGAGTGGATGTATTTGTCCATCATGGACATCAAATCTTCGAAATCCAGTAAGTTTAATTGGTAAAAACATAATACTTTCATAATATCTTTGTATATATTCCTTCGTAATATTCGTTTTTTCTGAATTATTCATATTTAGAAGGTATCAATTGAATGAACCTTCACGAACGATTACTACACAACAATTGAAAATCAATTGTAAACATGTGTTAAGGAAAATTACGCATTAAGGGAAGGGTTTAGAGTATAATGTGACCCTTGAGTATAATTTACGTATTATCCGGCATAATATCATCAAATCGGAATTGAATTGCCTTTTAATTCGAATACTACAATATTCAACGCCTTTTATAATTTGATAGCAATTTATTGATCGAAATCGAAAACTTTACAAAAATGAAAACAACCTGCTTGATATTCGCGTTGTATATTAATTGATATTATAAAGAGGAAAGATTTGTTTGTTTGTTTGTTTCGAATAGGCTCCGAAACTACTGTACCGATTTGAAAAATTCTTTTTCCATTAGAAGCCGACATTGTCCCTGATGAACATAGGCTACTTTTTTTTAATTTTTTTTATTTTATTTTTTTGGTTTCATGTGTGTTTTAATGTTTCCGAAGCGAAGCGAGGGCGGGTCGCTAGTTAATTATAATCACGTGCATTAGCTTATTGGAGAAGGCTTTTTGCTTACCTGGACGTAATCAATAACATATAGTCTTACAGGCTGACACATAATTATAATCAGTCTATATAGATAAGAGTATGTATATACATACTTGGATTTTCAGGCGCATCGTGAAAGTAAATACTCTTTTCTTTTCCAGGATGCGGATAGTGTGGGCTGGCTGAAATAATTTATAGAACTCATTGTTTTTATTGTTTTCAAAGACAGAGTATGATTAGGAATCGGTTTTGTTTTTTGTTTTTAAAGGTATAAAGTTTTCCACTATGCGGGTTGGTGTCTTCGCTCTGTAGAGCAGGACCACGAAGGTTCAAATATTTTTGGCGACTGCCTGTCGCTTCTAGTTAATAATTAATTAATTCATGGTTTAAATACGAGTTTTCCTGGCATTTTTTTTAACGCAATTTAAGATTTTGCTAAATATTTACTACGTGTCGAAATATACTACCACAGACCCATCTCATGAGGGTCAACAGTCCTATGCTTATTAACCGAAAGCTATAGGTGTTCAAAATTGTGGATATTAATGAAGAAAATAATAAAAGCGAGATCGAATCGTAAAGCTAGTAGTAATATTTGATATGTTGTCAAAACTATCAATAAACTATTATTAAGCGAATTAAATGAATTAACCATAAGTGATCTCATTATTTAAGATCAGAAAAGTTTATACGTAATGCGGTACGAACCTCGTAAAATTTGATTTATAATTGTATTACATTGTTGTAGATGAGCGTAAGAATTTACGGCCCACCTAGTGTTAAGTAGTTGCTGGAACTCGGACATCAAATCATGAACGCCATCAACTTTGAGGTTAAAATCGGGATCGTATTGTAAGGTGTATGCCATCCTTCGAATTGGAACACATCATAACTTCGTGGCAGGAAATATGGATAGTGGTGGCAACTACACGTGCGAGTCATAATATTAATCTTCCTGTTATATTATCTTTATAATAAACTCTTTCTATTCATTTTAATTTGTTTCGAATAGCATTACACGAACTGTATGCAAATGACATACGAATAAAGATAACAACGAAACATTAAAACAACAAAAACATTTTTTTTAATTGTGATATATTGCTTATCAATACAAATAACAAAATGTTTGTTTCTAAAATACGAAACTACAGTTTGGAAATGGATCGAAATGCTATTAAATGCAACATACAAGTTTATTATTACGAGGCATTGCGCTATCACAATAATACCTAGTCTCCAAGCTCACCAACGTTAAGCCGATTGAAAATTTCCGATTTATTATTTAATATCTTAGCGAATTGTACAATATAATTATATATTACGTACTTTTACATAAAACAATCTCATATCTCCTGGAAAGGTACATCTAAAAGTAACATTAGGTTTTTAATCTTTAAAATTTTCCTACTTTATTCTAAATTTAGACATATTTACAAATTTAAGTACACGACAATTTTAAACACAAGCTTCGCTGTGAAAGCGCAAATACAATTGAGCATTAGCTTAACCCTTCATTAATTTGGAAGCTCTCCATTAAAAATTCACTCGATGCATTACAATAATTAATTTAACAATCGATACATTAAATAACACATTTATACACATCTCTATCATACTCATACACTCACAGCACAGTCCAATCAATAGTTTACTTTAAATAATATATAATCTAGAAATGCATTAAGACTTGGTACGACATTACGCGGAGCCGTTATCGGTTCTCACTTTAAAAAAAATTTTGATATCAATTATAATTAATACTTACAAACAAAAACAAACATAACATTTTACGGGTAGGTACAAAATAGAAAACTTGTGACATGATTTGTGTTAACATTTCAGAAATTAGGAGCTAATATCACTAATACGAGGAAAGAGATTCTTTATCGTAGAACGAATACCATCAAAGTCTTCGATGAAATTATCCTTCATGAATCGGACAAGAGATGTCATCCGATCCATAAAAAACGTTTCATTTCAAATCAGCATCCACAACGATATTTAGCACCGCTCTTTTTTATTTACCGCTTAAGAAATAACAATCTCTACAATTCACATTGCCGTTTTGAAATGAAACTTACATTTACATTTTTATGAGACATGAGCTATGTTTACATTAAACTAGTCTAACTTAATTATTAGCTTAGTATAAACCCCGCACCATCACCAAAGATTGCACATAATACCCGATACTTTGATTTTTTAATTTGCAGTCATGCCTACATTTTAGGCCAGTGAAATATTACGCTGACTATTAAAAAATTAAGGTATTTTATTTATGACAAATTCTATTGTCAATATAATTTGTTAAGTCTTTGTTTACGGAATGTAACTACATAAATTCAGATTGGAAGACTTTTTTGATTCTATAAAATTTCACATAAGTTTCCACTTGTAACAATTTCATTTGATTAAACACTGGGAATTTAGTATCACAGTGGATGGTACATGGAATTTAAAGAAAAAAGTGGACGGAATGTATAGATTTGACTTCAAATATGTACTTTTATTCGTTTAACTGGAATCAGCTACATTGATGATCTAATCACATTTTCAATATTCACCAAAGCTAGCTAATTATTGAGACAGGCTCTCTGATTTTCTTGATTTATCACGTTTTAGTTAATTTTATACCATGGTGAATAAAGTCATGTGACTCCTGATTCAAATAATTAAAATACTTTAATTGTGTACTGGCATGGGCAGCTGACCCAGGAGTTGATTTGCGAATGCAGCATTCGTGAACTTGAAGTGTCTTTTGTCATAAAATTTGAGCAGTGCTGGAGAGTAGGGATGTTGCTTCTTCAGGTGCATATAGTGCTCTTCAGGCTCCGATGTTGTGTGTCCACATTCTTCACAAACATACATCTGGAATTAAATTTTCAAATACAGTAATCGCTAAGAAGCGCTAGATATAAAACGAAGTAAAAACATTAAGTATCATTACAAAAATAAATAATTAATCATATTCAAATCACCTTAGTCCTTCTTTCTTTGTAGGCATACGTGTGCTGGACTCCGTGCACTTTTAAGCAATGTGATTCCAGTGAGCATCTTTGGGTAAATGATTTTTCGCACAGATTACATTTATACGGTCTGACTCCGGTGTGCGTTCTTGTGTGTCTTTTAAGGTCGAATGTGTCATTAAATCCTTTGCCGCAAAATGTGCACAAGTATCGTTTTACATCAGAGTGGCATTTCATATGTCGGTTTAAGAGCCTCTGTAAGCTGAAATTTTTCGAGCAAACTCTGCAAACAAACTTTGTTGGGTCGTCTTCACTGACTAATACTTGTTTGTTTTTTTCTTCTTCCCTTTGTCTTGCGTTAGCTTCAGTCGCCAAAGGATTTTTCACACCATGTCCGCCATTGATGAATTCGAGAGGAAGCTCTGCTGGTAGTCCTAACTGTAAAAAAATAATGGATCGTTATTTAAAGTAACATTCACTGTACAATATTGATACTATTTCATCAAATTAAAAACAACTGATGGGTAAGTTTTATTTTCATTATTGAATTATAAGGCAGAGCTTAGTATTTAAACATGAACAATAAAACTTGACCACTAAGTTAAAGCATAAGTTGATTCAGGCTCGTATTATATACAACTTTGTTTCTGATGTTATTGTAACAAAAATAAAATTGTGAAATTGAACGACATATTAACAAGAAACAAAGCTTCGCCTTAAAATCAAATAATGCTTACCCTCTGTTGTAAAATTTGAATTTTTGTATCGGTGACAGAGCCTTTCTTCAGACTTACAGCAGCTGCAGGACTGATGGGAGTATTCTCCATATGACTGTTGCCATCTAACGAGTTGTTTCCACCGGGCGATGGAAGTGATACTCCTGTCGGTGAATCTAGGTCCAGTGGGTGACTAGAGAAGGGGAAGCCCGGTGACAGAATCTGTTGCCTTTGTTGAAGCTGAACATGAATTTGAAGCTGTTGCATTTGTCCTTCATTGTGTTGAAGAAGAGCAGGATTTAATTGCATTAATAAATCAGGACGTTCTTTAGCAAAGTTATAGGAAGGACTCTGTTCTTGGTTGGCAAATGCTAGATAGTTAGCCTTTTCATAATACTGTCTACTTAAATGTACTTGTTCAGCCAATGCTTCTATGTCTACAGCGTTATGAACGGAGTCCGGAGATATGGATGATGATTCTCGTACTTCTGAATCTGTTAAGGATTCTACAGGATTGTTTAACAGATCGGCAAAATCCTCAGTGGAATCCGACAAATTTCCTAAGATGCCTTCATTTGACCCAGGGAAGGTCAGTGTTGCGTTAAATTGATAATTGTCAATAACGTCTTCGACAACCATCGGATCGTCGAAATTACTGCTGTAATTACCAATAGCACCTAAATTTTCTAACTTATTCTCATAGTCTACTTCTTCATCTTTTAGTGCTAGTCCATAAGGAGCGTTTTGCATCAACGAGTACTGTTTGCTTTGTTCCGTAAAATTTGTTGTATTTTCGTTATTTTCACAGTCCATGTTGAATCCGTTAATCATATTGAATTCATTAGAGAAGTTGCTGTTTGCATTAAATGAATTTTGACCGTTTTTGGTTGATGGACCGAGTGTTTCGTAAAAAGGTGGGAGGCTACCAGTAGGTGGACTGTTAGGTCCATAATTAGATCGCCCATCTCGTCCATTACCACCGCTTCCTGATCCACCTCCAATAGCGCCACCGCCTCCTGAAGACGGAGCTGCACCTCCACTACCCGAGCTAAAACTGCCTGATCCTGTGCCGCTTTGTGAACCGCTACCAGAACTACTGCTTCCTGTCGATCGTCCATGACCGGCAGCGGCATTTAACATTCCTGGGACTTTGGTAGCAGGGCAATTTCTGAGCACTAAAACAGGTCGTGCTAAAATTCCGTTTGCAATTTTAGAACTGCTAGTTCTTCTTTGCTCTCTTATTTTCTTTTCTGTTTCTTCGTCTTCAGTCTCGCCACGTTTTTTGGCAATAACATAATCAATAGGCTGATCTTGTTCTGTTTCTGGAGGTGGTAGTGTTGTTGGAATTGTGACATCTTCCTTTTTGTTATCACGAAACTGCGACTGGGAAGGTGTTCTTTGAATAACAGACACTTTCTGACATGTAACATTGTTGTCAATACCAGGTGAAGGTTTTGATTCTGGAGATGGGCTATTTCTCGGAGGAAGTACCACAGGATCACTGTCTATTAACTTTTTCTCTTCTTTTACTAAAGGTTTGTCCTCCTGTTTTATCTCCTCTACCAAAACGGGTAAGTACTGTTTTCTTTCAGCTTGAGTAAGAACGTGTGAGCGATGACCGTAGGGAATATCGCCTCCAAGAATCGATGATATAAATCGTCTAGTTTCTTTTGTGCGATTTTCATGAGTGCCTTTGTTTTCTCCAAATACGTCACCATCTGAAAATAAAGATTTTTTTTAGTTCTAATACGACTTAAGGAAAATATATAATAGATAGGTGAGGTTATGTGCCTACGTGATTAGAACGAATTGAACCGTCGTCGCGAAATCGCTAACGAGTTATTTTAATGCTGGCTGAGGCTCATTGACGTCATTGATAGGTATGCCTCCATAACGGTAATACTCGCCTCCGTATGCAAACACCCACACATCATGTGTACGTTTGGGGCGTTGTTGTAACTAGTGTAGCCGTATAACGAGATTTTATCTTGGCCTAAGTAAATACTCAGTATCAATACTGCATGTCCAAGTTCTTCAATAAATACGAATCTGATAAAAAACTGCGTTTTTTTGCTGCTTGCAGTTTTTTTAATAGTTTAGCTGGAAAACAGTCAATAACGTCTGTAATTTCAGTCCTTTTCATTTCCTTATACAGAGGTAACCCTACCAGAGACCGACCAAAAACATATTCGATGCTTAACAAATTCTAAAATAGGTACACATACGAATGGTTTAGTGTAGTCTAGCCGGCCATGTTCCTTTTAACAGGAATTTAAATATAACATTATAGACAGGTGTTACTAATAAACCTGTATATTTGTCAAGTATGCATAGCGGCAGATAAGGTAGCACAGTCCACGTTCCACTTGAATTCAACGGAGTTGCAGAATATCGGACGAAATATCTTAAAAATACTTGAGATCATTCTCCGAGGTCTTGGACAATATCAACTATTTGAACTATTGAATTTGAAGAACGGAGGTAACACGAGTGAAATTCTCACCAAGAAACATGGTCACTTAGCTGCGAAAATCAGTCCAGAATCTAGTGCCAAGCAGCATTTAGCTTCATTCTTGGATCTCACAGGTGAAATATACATAAGACCATTGGGAGCTTTTAACATTGCACATGTATTTTTTTTTTCTCATTTGTAATTTTATTAGTAAATTTGTTATACGACAAATCTACAATTGATCTTAATGTGTCTTACCGTTCATGAACGTTGGTAAAGCCAAGAGCACAATCAAGCCGCCACATTAAAATTTAAATTCGCAAATTATTCGTAGAAAATCAGTGAAAGTTACAAAGCTACAAACAAGTTCCCTTGCCCTTTCTTAGCTTTGTTGGGGACTCAAGGACGTTGCCTGGCATTGTGTGGAACCTTTTTTTATGCAGGGACCTGTAATTGTTCGCGCCGAAGCAGCCGGGCGTGACTCTACGCAGACTAATTTGGAATCTCTCCGTCCATAGAACACGGATTTAGTTGTACGGATATTTTTTGAAACGGCAAGCATACATCCTTCGTCGGTGAGGTTTATAGCCATACTTAAGTGTCGTAAATGGGAACGTAAATATTTTATGTTTGCTTTTTGTCTGTAGCAGAGTTTCTTAGAAGCTCTAGTCATTACCCATTTGGCATAGTAGTTTTATCTCTATCTCATGATGATTTTTTTTGTTCATATTTTAGAAAGGAAGTTAGAAAGTTTACAAATTTTAATGTATTCATAATTCAGGTAAATTCGATAATAAAAATAATTGTCTCTAAAAAATAATAACTTTGGTGCATAATGTTTAATGTGGGATAATAATATATTATGGTAATTACATAAAATAATATGTAACATTTTACATTTAGGTATCTCTATAAAAATATATCTATACTAGCAGACCCGACTACACGTTGCTGTGGCTAAGGTTTTTGTTTCTATATAATACGCGGCCGGCTATGCTAATACCAAAAATTTACAAAGTAAGAACAATTGGATTTCACTGTATTGCGTTTACTACGAAATATATTTTCACTTATACTTTAGCCTCAGCAACACGTGGTGTTTATGCCATTAAATTGTAGCTTATGTGAAACGTTGGTATTTTAACACAGCGCCATCTATGAGATACTAATGTCAGACAGTATTACAATTGTCTGTAAAAACTGATTTAAGGCGCCATCTGTTTTAAAAATCAACATAAGAAATCATTTTATTGTTAATTAATAAATATTGCGACCATTAATCGAAATAAAAACCATCCTATCTTTCAAGTTGGATCAAACTGCACATGGTGTGCAAATTTAATTAAAAATCGGTTAAGTAGTTTAGGAGTCCATCGCGGACAAACAACGTGACACGTGATTTATATATATTAAGATTTACGAATCAATATTTAACGTTTACTATAATTGTTATGATCAATAACATATTCAAAATTAAGTAGTATTGTGAAAGAACAGGAAAAGGTTACTTCGTTAGACGACTTCGACCCAGTGACCGTGATGCATCCACGTTGTCTCACTCGACGTCGATGAACATTGTTAGCGGTAGCCTTGCGTCACATCTATTATGATATCCACATACATCATACTGTTAATCAGTAATTAACTTTATTACAACACAGATGCGATCGTGATTTCTTACCTAGTCTATAATAATTTACCTCCATATAAGTGTGTGCCGATGCTAATTTTGGAGATCATTAGAAGATTTTACGTAATACGTCCTGTAGCTACTACCACTTATCTGTCATTTCCCTGTTATAATAATTTTAACCTATTATGCTATTCAATCTTTTACCAGTTTCTATACAAATTGGTTGATCTAAAATCTAAATCTTTAACTATTCTCTCAGCCCACAGACGTCCACTGCTGGATATATGCCTCCCCCAAGGCTAGCCACAACGATCGGTCCTTATTAATTATTTTTTATTTCTTTGCCTAACAAATTGTTGGTATCCTAAGGGGCTATTTCAATTACGTGCAGACTGGTTTTTAAATTGTCATGGATACAATGTTGTAGTCTCATATCACTGTGTAGAATAGGGGAAGTAAAAATGTATTTTTGTTTTATTTTATTTTATTGCTTAGATGAGTGGACGAGCTCACAGCCCACCGGGTGTTAAGTGGTTACTGGAGCCCATACACATCTACAACGTAAATGCGCCACCCACCTTGAGATATAAGTTCTAAGTGCTCAAGTATAGTTACAAGTTTGTCTCAATACAATGGTTCAAAAACAGTATTAATAAACCTTATTTATTCATGGTCATGATTTTGGAAGAAACAGATAAATATTTGCTTCCAAATCGTATTTCTACAAGTACAAATGTAGTCTAGAAAAATATTATAATAAAATAACCAACAAAATGAAAATGTTACAATGAACACTCGACTAGCATAACGCTTATGTAAAACAAGAATTGTACCACTTATTATATATACGAGCTACATTTAAATAGTGCGGTTTTCATTCTAAAACGGTAAGTCAAGGCCCCGTAATTACTATGTCCATATCTATTCGGTTAGTTGCCGTTTCCTGTCGAGAAACAAACGCAACCTTGGCAGCGAACACTCATTATTTGGCCATTAACGGCAGCCTTCTTCGCATCGGTTTTCGGCAATAATTAGCGATTCTGAGCCAGATGAGTTTTTGTAACAATTAGAGTGGTGCCGACCGTTTTGTTTTTTTTTATTACATATAACGTTTGATTCGCGATCGAGCAGACTTAGATTGAATTATCAGTAAAATTCAATAAACATGATATTGTATAATACAATATGCTAGAGGTATCGTTTTTATTAAACAGTGTACGTTAATGTTTAAAGCAATTGAGACTGATCTTTCCGATTTTCGCTCTCAATTCTATATCTATTGTACATACATGATATACAATATATTGATGTTTCGGCGGTTTGTTTCTCTGCTTCTAATTTAGTTTGCATTAGGTACTACTCGATATTGATTGATATATTTTTAATAGAATTGAAATTTTTATTACCTTAAATTATATAGTTGATACCATAAAATATCAGAACAAGTCGCGATTTTATCTCGAAGCATTGTTTTTTTTCTTCAAAAAGCCATTTATCTTCAACTACAGCCTTAACGAATTTGGAAGGAAAGTCAAGCTAACGCTTACAAATTATATCATATGCTTAATAAGCCCGCAGTAAAACTGGCTTGGGGCATCAATAAAAACTAGCGAGGCAACGGGGCGGGCCGACGTGTCCTTGCGGCCGGGGTTATCGGACGCCGTTAGCATTTAACGCATTTTAAAATTAAGACTACGAAGAACCGCTTCGTACATAAAATTCAGTTGAGGCCTTTTCCGTAAGTACCGATAGCACACGATACATGGGAGCTCGTCTCACTCGCACTACGGAATCGGTTAAAGGTCATCGCTTTCAAGGACATTTTTTGTTTAAGAAAACATTTAACATACGTGCTGCGACCGTATGTGAAGAACGTTCGAACCATATGTGGCGAATTTCGCACATTTCGACTTTTGGAATTCGACAATCGCTGAATTTATTTAGATTATTACAGAACACTGTTGCCGTAAAATAAGATATTACAGTTAACATTGAAGAAAGGTTGTGAAAACCTGAACGGAAATGTTCACACGCTCGACCTTTGTTGTCCACAGACACGTAGTTACTTAACCATGAGCTGAAAATGTCCAATTTAAAGTAGGTACCTGCCCGCCTTCCTACGCCCGTGACGCCTACTAAATGTAATTACTCAACCTTCCGTAGGTTTTTCAAAGTCGATTCTGTATAAAAAGCCGTAGATCTAATACGTCGCGTCGCCTCTAAAGCAACGGTCGCAAAAACTGTTCAACGCTTTATTATTATTTTGATCACGGCGTGAATCACAACCAGATTTGGCAAGGGTTAATGACCCAAATGTGTTTAGCAAAGTGTTCAAGGCTAACGTCGACTATTCCGGCTGGTTAATAGAAAAAATCCGGTATCGAAGAAGGCGATCGCTCAGGTTGTTTTCGACGTTCTTCAATTTCGTTGAAGGCAACTAGAATTATTATTACGCCACTAATATAAACGTTAAAATGGTTACCGTTAGTTTTTTTAAGTTAACCTGTTAAAAGACACAAGATTGATTTCAATATCAATTTTTTCATCTATCAGTCTGACGATATAATTATTAGTGATGAATTTTGAATTGCATTCGGAAAGAAAACATATAGACTGTCATTTAGAAGTCAGGC